CCTCCCCTCCCCGCCCCTCCCCGCCCCTCTCCCCTCGCTATCACCCCCCACCCTAACGCACACCTGCAGCAAACGCCAGTGTTGCGAGTGGGGGCACGCCTTTGTGCGTCAGGCCTTGAATATTTCCCAATCACCCCCATCTATTCACTTCCCCTCCCTCCCACCCACCTCCCGCCCACCCACCCTAATGTAGACCTAGAGCTGACGCCGGTGCTGCGGCTGAGAGCAAACCTCTGCACGTCAGCCCTTGAATTACCCACAGTCACCCCCGCCTTTTCTTTCCCCTCCTCCCTTCCGTCTTCTCTCCTCTCCCTCTCCCGTCAGACCTGGAGCTGACACCAGTGTTGCGGCTGGGAGCAGACCTCTTTGCAGACAACCAGTAGGTCACGAGTATCCCACTCACCTACCCCTCACCTATCCCCCACCCACCCCCCTATCTCCTCTCCCTCTTCTCCCGTCAGACCTGGAGCTGACACCAGTGTTGCGGCTGGGAGCAGGGGCGACAGCCGGCATCATCGCCATGTCTGCCACCTACCCCATGGACATGGTTCGCGGGCGACTCACTGTGCAGGTGGGTGGTTGGGGGCAATCCAGGTGGGATGGTTGGTCAGATGCTTCCATGTGTGGGCTCGCACCAGCCAGCCGGCATCATCGCCATGTCCGCCACGTACCCCATGGACATGGTTCGAGGGCAACTCACCGTGCAGGTGGGATGCATGTGGCATGGCATGGCATGTCATGGCATAGCATGGTATGTTGGCAAGGAGGTATAGTGCTCGATGGTTGGCATCATCGCCATGTCCGCCACATACCCCATGGACATGGTTCGAGGGCGACTCACCGTGCAGGTGGGTATGGGCAGGGCAGGTGGGCACTTGACTGTAGGTTAAAGGATAGTGGCCCTCGCACCAGCCAACAGGCATCATTGCCATGTCCGCCACATACCCCATGGACATGGTTCGCAGGCGACTCACCGTGTAGGTGGGTATGGGCAGGGCAGGTGGGCACTTGACTGTAGGTTAAAGGATAGTGGCCCTCGCACCAGCCAACAGGCATCATTGCCATGTCCGCCACATACCCCATGGACATGGTTCGCAGGCGACTCACCGTGTAGGTGGGTATGGGCAGGGCAGGTGGGCACTTGACTGTAGGTTAAAGGATAGTGGCCCTCGCACCAGCCAACAGGCATTATTGCCATGTCCGCCACATACCCCATGGACATGGTTCGAGGGCGACTCACCGTGCAGGTGGGATGCATGTGGCATGGCATGGCATGTCATGGTATGTTGGCAAGGAGGTATAGTGCACGATGGTTGGCATCATTGCCATGTCCGCCACATACCCCATGGACATGGTTCGAGGGCGACTCACCGTGTAGGTGGGTATGGGCAGGGCAGGTGGGCACTTGACTGTAGGTTAAAGGATAGTGGCCCTCGCACCAGCCAACAGGCATTATTGCCATGTCTGCCACATACCCCATGGACATGGTTCGAGGGCGACTCACCGTGTAGGTGGGTATGGGCAGGGCAGGTGGGCACTTGACTGTAGGTTAAAGGATAGTGGCCCTCGCACCAGCCAACAGGCATTATTGCCATGTCCGCCACATACCCCATGGACATGGTTCGCGGGCGACTCACCGTGCAGGTGGGTGGGGGCAGGGCAGGCAACAGACATTGAATATGTGTGGTTGTGCGTTGACTGGCATCATTGCCATTTCAGCCACATACCCCATGGATGGACATGGTCCGAGGACGAGGCAACTGACTGTGCAGATGAGTCATGACATGTGTTCTACCAACGTGCGATCATGCCATACCATCTACCCTAGCCTAACCATTCGATTCCATCCCCACCTCCTCATGTCCCCTCTTCCTTTGTTCCCCTCCCCGTCTTCCCCCCTTCCGTGGGCACTCTTCCCACCACCAGTCTGGCAGGGCGGGAGAGCAGCGCTACAAGGGCATGCGCCACTCCACACTGACTCTCCTCCCTTCTCGCTCTCTCTCTTTGCTCGCTCCTCCCGGCACTGTTCCCTCCCACCAGTCTGGCAGGGCGGGAGAGCAGCGCTACAAGGGCATGCGCCACGCGGCGGTGACTATAGTGAAGGAGGAGGGCGTTCGCGCGCTCTATAGGGGCTGGTTACCGTCCGTCATTGGTGTGGTGAGTGATTGAATGGAAGCTGAGTACGGAAGAGTGTGACTATAGTGAAGGAGGAGGGCGTGCGCGCCCTCTACAGGGGCTGGTTACCTTCTGTCATTGGTGTGGTGAGTGGCTGTTCTGCCATAGTTAGTTAGTGGATGTGACTATAGCGAAGGAGGAGGGCGCGCGCGCGCTCTATAGGGCCCGGTTGCCTTCTGTTATTAGCGTGGCGAATGGTTGCAGTGAGGTGATTGCAGTCAAACGTGATTGCAATGAAGAGTGAGTGAGCGTATTGGTATCTGATTGTTTTGAGCACCATCTGTAGTAGTGGAGAAGTGTTCCGGTCTGGTGAGTGATTGTGCACCAATACATCTTCTACAACTCCCAACAGCTGGCGTGCGGGGCAGTGGTGGAAACTCTAAGCCAGACAATGCTTTACCCTCATCTGTCCGTCATCCGTCCGCTGCTCCCCGTTCCCCTCCATCCCCTCCCCCCTCCCCCAGGTCCCCTACGTGGGGCTCAACTTTGCAGTGTACGAAACCCTGAAGGACCAGCTGGGAAGAATGTACGCGGCGCAGCACCCTGACAACCCCGAGATGGGGGAACTCACAGTTCTCACCAAGCTGGCATGCGGGGCCGTGGCGGGCACGCTAGGCCAGACCGTCGCCTACCCTCTGGATGTGATACGAAGGAGGCTGCAGATGGTGGGGTGGCGGGACGCGGCGAGTGTGGTGAGGGCGGATGGCACGGTGGCAGCGGCACCGCAGTACACGGGGATGGTGGATGCGTTCAGGAAGACGGTGCAGATGGAAGGCGTGCGGGCGCTGTATAAAGGACTCGTCCCCAACTCTGTCAAGGTGAGATAGGCTCGTGCTGGTTTGGAGGGAATCTGAGGGAATCTGAGTGAATCTGAGTGAATCTGAGGGCTAGCAGGGAAGGCAGTGCACCGCAGGTACGCAGGAAACAGGGAGTGCAGTGGGTGTGGTGAGGGCGGATGGCACGGTGGCAGCGGCGCCGCAGTACACGGGGATGGTGGATGCTTTCCGGAAGACGGTGCAGATGGAAGGCGTGCGAGCGCTTTATAAAGGACTTGTCCCGAATTCCGTCAAGGTGAGACTGTCATGTGCTGGTTCACACTCAGAGTCCTGGTTGGGAATCGACCTTTGAGAATTCTCAATGGTTTAGCCTCGGTGCGCTGGTTAATGGTTCCGTTGTTCCCTGGCCTCAGTGTGTTGACTTTTTGAGTCGACTCAAAAGTCACCTCGGTGCGCTGGTTAATGGTTCCGTTGTTCCCTGGCCTCAGTCTGTTGGCAACTTCACCATCATCCTCCACACCAGCTGTTCCTGTCTTCTGAAACTCTCTGTAACCAGGTGGTGCCCATGCCAACCATCGCTATTGCGTTTGTGACCTGGGAGATAGTTGATTAGGAGTGTTTCTATTCTACCATCTTCCAGAACTCTCCGTGTGTGCTTGTGCCCCTTGGTACCCCCATTCGACACGCCAGGTGGTGCCATCCATTGCCATTGCCATTGCGTTTGTCACGTACGGGATCATGAGAGACCTGCTCGTATTGCTTCCATCTTCCGAAACTCGTGTTTCTGTTCCTCTGTGCCCCCAACCCACACGCCAGGTGGTACCATCCATTGCCATTGCGTTTGTCACGTACGAGATCATGAGGGATCTTCTCCATGTGGAGATCCGCATCTCCGACTGACACACACGGCAGCGGCTTCAATGCTACCGGTACTATCAGCCAGCATCTTTTCCCGAGTGTCCGTACCAGCATTGACTATTTCAGTGCCAGAGTGGGTCTTTGTCGGTGGACGTACGTACACATCCTGCTGTCGAATATGGCAATGGGATGGGGTGTGTGCAGGATGATACTGTAGGTTTAGGTAGAACTGCAATAATCTGCAATAACGAACCTTGAACAAGGTTTGTTCCTTATAAAAGCTATGTTCAGCCATGGGTGGGTGGGACGGTGTTAGGAGTGCAATTGAACGAACAAGCGAGTATTGCTTAAGGGGGCAAAGGATAACGATATGAGTGAAGGCATGAGCAAAGACTTCGTAACGCTCTAAGGCGAGCTAGGCTACGCAATGTGGCTCACGAAGCGTAGGCCAACTCGGCCTTATATAGCGGTGCAAGGTCTTTGTGAAAGCTAGTGCGCTGGAAACAAGCGAGGCGAAGAACGGTGGAGGCCTGCGGAGCAAGAAAATGTTATGTCTGTACACTACTACCCCTTCCCTTAAAACCCCCCTCGCTTATGTTAGCGGATGCATGTCGCGGAAACTTCGGCTTCTCAAGAGTACCTGGAGGACAGGCCGTCTCTCGATGTTGCCCAGGGAGGGCCACCTAGCTGTTTTCAGTTGGCGTGCGATCCCAATAGTGGACAAGGAACTCGATTCATCGAGAACCTTGCAGATTATGGAATGGATCCTGTGGCTGAGGATTTTCTCGTTGTAGTAATCCAAAATCAGCTAGGAGTAATAACAGATCAACTTCTACCTGTATATGGCTGATCCAAGCACAGCTGCATACCATGGGCGTTTTCGGCATCAGCTCCACGAGAATTATAGGGGTGACTCATGAACAGCTACGCACAAAATGATGTACAGTAAATCCAAGAACAGCTCTGTACAAAAGTATACGGTATATGAGCGTATTCCAAGGACAGCTATGGTATGAATGAATGAATGATACGGTACAGACAGGCTGACCAGTCCAGCCCAAACAATAGTCGGTGTACCAAAGCTTCCAGCTGCGATGCGACCCTCTGATTCAAACCTCCTGCTTCCAAGCTGCCATGCTGTCTTCATGTCACCATGCCGCCATGCCGCCATGCCGCCATGCTTCCATGCCATCATGCCAGGAACACGAGAGCAGCCTGTGTCTCGAGCCACAGGCGCAGGTCCTCCCTGTCAACACACAGCCCCTGCAGCGCGCTCGTGGCATGCAGCCTCTCTCCCTTCAGCCCTAGCGCCTGCAGCATTGCCTCCATTGTCCCTTGGAGCTCTGTGGTCGGCTCCTCCTGTGGTGGGGCCTTGCCCGTTGCTTGTGTCTGAATGAAGGGAGATGGGCGATGAAAGATGGGATATGGGAGATGAAAGATGGGAGATGGGAGATGGGAGATGGGAGATGGGAGATGGGAGATGGGAGATGCGAGATGCGAGATGCACCTCTGGGGAAAAGGGTGTCCAAAGCCAAGTGCGCACACAGCACGCGGCAAGCACTACCTTACCTTACCTTGCCTTGCCTTGCCTTGCACACTACTGCATGTCGACTGGCACGTGATCATGGCATCACGCAGTTATTGCACCATGGCATCATGTGCATGAAATGACATGCACACAATGTGTTGCAGTGTAACGACGGAATCCCGATCGGCACGTAATGATTTGATCGGTGCAAACTCCGTTCTTAAGGCGCCTAAATAATAGACTCCTCACATGGTCATAACACCATGGCAACATGTGCATGAAATGGCATGCACACAACGTGTTGCACTGCAACGACGAAACCCCTCAGCATGGAGCTATTCGATCCGTGCAAGCCCCATTCGCAACAACGAAATGCCCACCCACCTGTGCATGCAATGTTGCCTTGACGAAAGCCATATTGTGCAGCAACGCGGCATCAGTGCCATCAATTGACAAAGAAGCGATGCGCAAAGACAGGGTATTGAGGTGCCTCAAAAGGCACACCTCACCCACCTGTGCCTGCAAGGTTGCCGTCGCAACAACCAGGTTTTGCAGCGACGAGGCATCATGGCCAGTAATGGAGGAAGAGGCGAGACGCAGAAGCAGAGAGAGCAGAGCCACAGCCGCAACAGAGCGAGTGCAGTCGACCACGTAAAGCCTGCAAGGGGGAATTGATGGGCCAAGGAAGTGCAAGTACTTATGAGGGGCCTAAGAACATGCAGCCAACCAAGAAACACCTGAGAGGCAGGGACTGTTGGGTGGAAAAGTTGGCAATCAGTGTCAGAAAATTCATGTTTGGAGATTTTAAGGCCCCACAAGTCAGTGAGAGAATTTCAAAGACAAGAGGCGGATTGTTGCAATAATCTCGCACTGGGCTTACGTGAAGGGGTCTGCATTCAAGGCGGGTGTGGGGGGAAGGCGCTAAGAGATGGCTTGTAAACTCGATCCATGCAACTCAGATTTGCTCGCACTGGGCTTACATGAAGGGGTTTGCAGTCAAGGCGGGGGGGGGGGGGGGAAGGCGCTAAGTGCCGGCTTCTGATTCAACTTGATATGCTCTCAGTGGGCTTACGTGAAAGGGTCTGCAGTCAAGGCGGGTGGGAAGGCGCCATCAGTTGCTGCCTCCCTGAAGATCGACACTGCTGCTTGTAGCGCTGATAGGCGCGTACAGAAAGAGCGAGAGAAAGAGAGAGGGATGAGGATGGATGGGAACATATGAGCATGAGGACAAGAAAGGGGAGAAGGCGACTTCTGAGTAGACTCGAAGTCCCCACCCCCTCTGTAGATTGACATTGCTGCTTGCAGAGCTTAGCAACAGGAGTGGCAGAGAGAGTGGAGGTGGAGTCTGGAGAAGGTAAATGTGAGCATGAGGACATGGGGACAGCAATGACAAATCACAGGACCAAATGAACACCACCAGAGACATCATCCCCATCGCATGTGCCAATCGAACAGGAACAGATAGACCCTCCTCTTCTCCGCATCATCTAACCTCGTGCCAATCTAACCTGGAGTGAACGTGAGCGTTTGCCCCTCCTGCACCACGCCCTGTATGGCAGCGTCAGCTCCCTCGGGGCCAAAGCAGGCGTCAAAGAGCCGCGTGTAAGTGGCCTGTGACGGATGGAGGGGGTGCTGGTGGAATAGATGGGCGGCGGGGGAGGAGGAGCGGGAACGTGAGTGTTTGACCCTCATGCACCACGCCCTGTATGGAAGCATCATCAGCTCCCCCCTCGGGGCCAGAGCAGGCGTCAAAGAGCCGCGTGTAGGTGCCCTGTGACGAATAAGCCGTGTGCTGATAAGAGGGGGAGAAGGGGAAAGCGGGACAGCGTGAGGGGGGAGGTGACAGGAAAGCTGAAGAGCACGGTGTGAGTCTTCATGACAGGTGCAATCAGCACTGGCTGGAGAGAGGTAGGGGAAGGAAGAGCAGGTTTGAGAGAAAGCAGAGAGTGGGAGATGGGCCTTAGCTTACTCACGCTCGAAAAAGCACGCAGGCTGGAAGATAACTTTTAACTCCTCGTATTGATCCATGCATGCAGATATTGATTGTTCAGCAGCAGCTGGGAGATTTTCCTTGGTTCCTTACAAGTGAACAGGCTAAGCACGTCAACAAACACTTGGTTTGAGGCGTTTCAGAAAATATCTGCTTCTGAAACGCCTCAAACCAAGTGAATGTCCCTGAAAGAAAGCTTCCATGTTGCTCACCTCAAGCTCGCCCTTAGCTGCGGTTTGCATCTCCCTGAATGTCTCTACTGCTGCCTCCCATGCCCCCGCCTTGCCCTGCACACTTATCAGTGCATGGAAAACTGCTGCTGTGACCTCCAAGCCCCCATCCTCCATCTCCCTCCTCAGTGCCATCGCCCGTGCTGCATCGCCATCCCTGGCACACACTGCCATGAGCCCCAGGTACGTTGCCTCGTCGGGCTCGGGCCCCCACCTCTGCATGCCATCGTAGCACTGCCACAGAAGGAAAGGGCATGGAGCGAATGCCTTGTAAGCCGCCTCCGCTCTGTGCTGACGTCGGATCAATCGTAGAGGCGCCAATTTTTTTTTTCTTACCCAAATCAATCTGTTGCTTGCATATGTGATGGCATCATATCATGTCTCCACGATACAATCAGTTCACGATCCACCTCCCCCTTTCGCTCCCTTTCCCCCCGCCCCCCCTTCCTTTCCCTCTCTATATTATTAAGGCGGAGGAGATTATATCAAGCCCACTGGTAGCCTCACTCACTCACCCCGTAGGCCACGTAGGCAGGGGCGGAGGGCACGGCAGCCACGGCGTGGATGAGCTTGTTCCAGAACTCGGGACTCAAGTCGCGTGCAAACCCACTCGCTGACATCAGCTTGTACGCTCGCAACGCCCCTGAGTGATCCCCTGCCTGCAAAGGGTAACGTGGTGAGGGAGGGTGTGTGTGAGGGAAAACGACAGACAGTGCAACACCCTGTGGACATCACTTTGTATGCTCGCTGCCTGCAGAGCATTGAAAGAGATGCAGACAAATGACAACCTTTTCTGAGAGAGTGCGGACTATGTTGAGGCGCCTCAGAAAGTGGGAGAGAGTAATATGGTGAGAGAGATGCGAGAGATGCAGACAAAGACATCCTTTCATGAAGCAGATCAGGAGTTATTTTTGGACATCCTTCCAGTGAGCAGCGTTGCGTAGGAGTAGGTTTAAGCAATTAGGAAAAAACAACAAACTAGCTAAATCGCCGAGAGTCTGTGAAACTGGAACTTTCTTGTTATCAAAAACTAAAACAAAGAGTAATATGGTGAGAGAGATGCGAGAGATGCAGGCAAATGGCATCCTTTTATGAGACTGATGAGGAGTGAGTGGTGACTTCACTGGTTTTAAAACATCCTTGATACTACCACCTAGAGAGTGCGTGCGGGCTATGTTGATCGACGTGTGATGCTGGGTGTGAAGGGTGTGAGACAGAGAACAAAGCAGCAGGGGCTCATGAGGTAACTGACCCTTCAGTCCACAGAGAAACAAAAGAATAAGGCTGTGAAACAATGAGAGAACCAGTGCACCTGAAGCCTCATTGCACGGAGCTTAGGTTGGAAACAGCCTGCCATTTGCAATGGCTATTGGCAACCTGGCAACAACACCTGAAGGCTGGCTGAAATGGCCAGGTTGATTCAGTGCTTAACTGGCAAAAGGACAGGCTGGCAACAACACCTGAAGGCTGGCTGAAATGGCCAGGTTGATTCAGTGCTTAACTGGCAAAAGGACAGGCTGGCAACAACACCTGAAGGCTGGCTGAAATGGCCAGGTTAATTCAGTGCTTAACTGGCAAAAGGACAGGCTGGCAACAACACCTGAAGGCTGGCTGAAATGGCCAGGTTGAACGTTTCTGCATTGGGAGTGCCCTTCTCAATAGCTTCCATCAAAAGCTCACGGCCCCATGCTGTTTCTTCCTGCAATGAGATTAATGGTTCAAGTGAACGATATTTGAAAGAAAAGAGAGCACTGAATGAACAATATGGCATAACCAGAGAGCTATGGCAGGAAGACAGCGAATATTTTAGCACAATTACAGCTGAATTAAAAGAAACACAAGTTTTCGTAACGTAAGCGAGTAGAGAGATCAGATTGGTTCACAAGCCTTACATCAGTCAATGAGACCCCCTTGGCCTGCATTTCTCTGTACGTCTCCACAGCCGCCTCCCACATCCCTGCCTGGCGCTGCATGGCTATCAGAGCGTGAAGCACATCTCCCGTCACCTCCACTCCGCCATCCTCAATCTCCTTTTTAAGCGCCATCGCCCGTGCTGCATCGCCTTTCTCAATGGCTTCCGTTAGGAGCTCGAGGCCCCATGCCTTCTCCTCCTGCAGTGGAAGATGCGGTTCACGTGGACACGGGTTGAAATGCGGTTGCAACGGAATAAGCGCTCGAGCGTGCGGTACAAATACAAAACACACCAACTTAAAAAGAGGGTGCTACTGGAGCCACGGAGGGGGGACCACGAAACAACTGCTAACTCTACAAAACAACACATGAATACAAGTCCCATATTGGCTAACAGGCCTCTCATCATATAACAAGATCGCCATGGCTTGCATCTCCTTCAGTGTCTCCATAGCTGTCCCCACATCCTTTTGAGGCGCCTCAAAAGTGATATGCATGCACGAATGCAGCCATATCGATACACGCATGAATATTATGCTCACATACATCAGTCGACAGCATAATATTCATGCCTCCGCCCCATAGGCCACGGAGGCAGGGGCGGAGGGGCAGCCACGGCATGGATGAGCTTGTTCCAAAACTCCGGATTCAGATCACATGCCAAGCTGCTCGCTGACATCAGCTTGTACGCTCGCAACGCCCCTGAGTGATCCCCTGCCTGGCAAGGGTGACAGAAAGATAGTGAGAGAGATTTAGAAAAGTGGCATCCTTTCATGAGTAGTGATGTGACTTGTTTCTAGTTTGATAACAAACCACCTAGAGAGTGAAGGCTATTTGGATCGGTGTGTGATGCTGGTTGTTCAAGGTGTGAGAAAGAGCACAAAGAGGATGGATGGAGGGAACAATGCAAGCACTAGTGCACTGCAGTTCACAAAGAGGCAAACGACTAAGGCAGCAAAACAATGCGAGAGCTAGTGCACGGAAACAGCACCAGAAGGTGTGTTGCGATGAATAGGTTGATATTGTTAGAACTTGAGATTAGAATGCACGCATTAGTAACGAGCTTGAAGCTCTTTAAGTACATCCAGGATGGGCAAGGAATGGATGGGGAAGGAAATCGGGGGCAATTTCTAGGGATTGGAGGTAATTCCAAGGCAATCTCCAAATGGTGGGTTGGAGATTGCTTGGAGATCACATTTGGGTTTGGTTGGGATGTAGGTGTACACCCAACCAAACACAAAGTGCAAACTACACTATGCTAGGATATAGAAAGTACAAATACAAAGTGTGAGATTAAGGGCTAACACTAACAGATACTAGTGCTTAACTGGCAAATGGCAGGCTGGCAACAGCACCTGGAGACGTATTGCAATGGCCAGCTTGAACGTCTATGCATCGGGACTGCTGTTCAAGTGCTTTTTTAGTCGACTCAAAAGACGCATTCGTTCAAAATGAAGCACAGCAACAGCAATAGTGCAGAGCAACAGCAAGAGCAATAGTACATCTGGGCAGAGAAATAGTGCAGAGCAACAGCACCTCAAGGCTTGCTGCAATCGCCAGGTTGAACGTTTCTGCATCGGGACTTCCCTTCTCGATAGCTTCTGTCAGAAGTTCACGACCCCATGCCGTATCGTCCTGCAGTGGAAGAAACGGTTTAGGTGGACAAGATAGAAAGTAAGAAAGAAGAAGAAGAAGAAAAAAAAAAAAAAAAAAAAACGCGCTATACTAATGCTTTACCAGAGCCACGGTGGGAGCAGATTGGTTTACAGGCCTTACATCAGTCAATGAGATCTCCTTGGCCTGGAAGTCTATAAACGTCTCCACAGCAGCCTCCCACAGGCCTGCCTGGCGCTGCATGGCTATTAGAGCACGGAGCACTTCTCCCGTCACCTCCACTCCGCCATCCTCCATCTCCCTCCTCAGCACCGTCGCCCGTGCCACATCGTCTTTCTCAATAGCTTCCATCAGAAGCTCGCGGCCCCATGCCTTTTGCTCCTGCAGTTCAAGTGAACACGAGTTGAAATGCGGTTGTAAGGAATGTGTGTGTTACAGGTGCTTCACGTTTGGAAACGCAAATGGGATTGTACCATGAGAATAGGCTTAAATTGCGAAGTTGCCAGAGGCAAGATTAGTAATCTTGCGCAAATGGCGTTTTGGATGCGCTATGTTGGACAAATATCCGGTTACAGTACATACAAAGGAATGTGATTGGTTGAGGCCCAACACCGCGCTAAAACTGCAAGTTTCAACATTCTACAATTTGAGATTCTCGGTCCCAAAGAGACAGTTTGCCTTGCGGTTTGGGACCGAGAGTCTCAAAATTTAGAATGCTGAAACTTGCAATTTTAGCGCTGAGTTGGGCCTCGATCAATCACATCTTTCGTACTGTAACCAGATATTCGCCCAAAATACAGCACCCAAAACGCCATTTGCGCAAGATTAATAATATTTTCACTGACGCTCCGCAATTTGGGTCTTGAGCTGTAATGTTAACGGAACCAAAATCCGTGACGTACCACCCTGAAATCGCCTACCGCAAATTGTAACAAGATGTGAGTGAATGGTGGATTGACTCAAGAATGAAAAGACAAAAAAAAAAAACAAAAACAAAAAAAAGAGTGGTTGCTACTGGGAGGTGGGAGGAGACCACGAAACAACTTCTATGATCTATCTCTACAGAAAATGTGAATACCAAGCCTTTGGTATTCGGAGGAGTCTAAAAAACATAAGAAAGCGCAACAAGTGGCATATGGCTAACAGGCCTTACATTATTTGAAAAGATTGCCTTGGCTTGCATCTCCCTCAGAGTCTCCACATAAGTGCATGCATGAATGCTCTGCTCACATACATCAGTCGAGGGCACAGCCTCCGCCTGCATCTCCTTGAGTGTCTCCCCCGCGGCCTCCCACAGCCATGCCTGGCACTGCATGGCTATGAGCGCATGAAACACCGTTGCCCCCCTCCCCTTACCTCCGTCTCTCCCTTAGACATGGTTTGAATCTCCTTGAGCGTTTCGACAGCTGCCTCCCGCAGCCCTGCCTTGCGCTGCATGGCTATGAGCGCATGAAGCACCGCTGCTGTGACCTCCACGCCCCCATTCTCCATCTCCCTCCTCAGCGCCATCGCCCGTGCTGCATCGCCATCCCTGGCACACACTGCCATGAGCCCCAGGTACGTTTCTAGGTCCGGCTTGGGTCCCCATCTCTTCATGCCCTCGTAGCACTGTTGGAATGCAAAGTGGGAGTAGGAAAAGGAAAGACAATGGATCATAGCAAATTATAAACATGATAAAGAAGACTGAAGGTGAGTACCTCAGTGGGTGACATGCGTGCAAGCAATGCAACAATTATCTTTGTTTCATCTATTTAACAAACAGCCTTGATCAAGCACTCACCCCGTAAGCCACGCAGGCAGGGGCGGAGGGCACGGCAGCCACGGCGTGAATGAGCTTGTTCCAGAAAGGCGGATTCAAATCACTCGCCAAGCTGTTCGCTGACATCAGCTTGTATGCCTGCAACGCCCCCTCGTGATTCCCTGCCTGCAGAAGGACCAACGAGGGCAAAGGGTTGGGAACGGAATGGAAAGAGTGAGACAAGAGAATGAAAGAGGGAAGAGGGAGCGCAAAGGGATAGTGCCTGCATGAGATGCCTGCCTGCCTAGTGGCAATACTGGAGGCGGCTCAAAAGGTGACATGGATTGTCAGGCGCCTATTATAACGAGACCAACTTTGAGGCGCCAAGAAGGAAACAAGCGTGCAAAGGCACAAGGCGCTTGTGGAGCAACAACGAGTGTCTCAAACGTTAACGAGAGCCTTGACCTGTCACCCACCCACCCACCTGCAGGTTGATTCCAATGAGCAGGTTGAGGACCTCTGGATCAGGGCAGCCGTTTGCAGCAGCATCCATCAAGAGCTGGACCATTGGAGCCGTGTGTGCCTGCAAGGGAATGGAAGTTACGTGGAAAGGAGAGGTGAGAGAGGAGGAGATGAAGGGAGGGAGGGAGGGAGGGAGGGAGGGAGGGAGGGAGGGAGGGAGGTAGGAGGGAGGGAGGGAGGGAGGGAAAGAGGGAGGGAGGGAGGGAGGGAGGGAGGGAGAAAGGGAGGGAGGGAGGGAGGGAGGGAGGGAGGGAGGGAGGGAGGGAGGGAGGGAGGGAGGACGAGGAGGGAGCGGGAAGGAAGAGGGATGAAGATTCATGATATGCAAGGCACAAGCAAGTTCGTCAGCAGGGGAGGAAGGTGTGATAACTACCGACCTTCTTAAAATATACCACAACGCGCACCAGCACCAGTTCTCTCCTCTAAGGCTTGCCTCGTTTGCAGCGTCAGCAAGAGAGGACGGTGCAATCGCCATCCAAGCGAAATGACTGCGCTTGCTCTAGAGAGCCAAAGGGAAGAAAAAAAACAGAGCGGAAGCACCAGCACCGGCACCAGTTCCCACTCCTTGGCTTGCCTCGCTAGCAACGTCATCCGGGGAGGACGGTACAATCGCCGTCCTCCCAAAATCGGCAAGCTTGTTCCAGAAAGCCGGTTCCACGTCGCTCGCCAAGCCATTCGCCGACATCACCTTGTATGCTCGCAACGCCCCCTCGTGATCCCCTGCCTGCAGAGAGTGAAGGAGGGGACATTTTGAGTCGACTCAAAAGTCACAGAGAGTGAAGGAGGGGACATTTTGAGTCGACTCTAAAGTCACAGAGAGTGAAGGAGGGGACATTTTGAGTCGACTCAAAAGTCACAGAGAGTGAAGGAGGGGACATTTTGAGTCGACTCAAAAGTCACAGAGAGTGAAGGAGGGGACATTTTGAGTCGACTCAAAAGTCACAGAGAGTGAAGGAGGGGACATTTTGAGTCGACTCAAAAGTCACAGAGAGTGAAGGAGGGGACATTTTGAGTCGACTCAAAAGTCACAGAGAGTGAAGGAGGGGACATTTTGAGTCGACTCAAAAGTCACAGAGAGTGAAGGAGGGGACATTTTGAGTCGACTCAAAAGTCACAGAGAGTGAAGGAGGGGACATTTTGAGTCGACTCAAAAGTCACAGAGAGTGAAGGAGGGGACATTTTGAGTCGACTCAAAAGTCACAGAGAGTGAAGGAGGGGACATTTTGAGTCGACTCAAAAGTCACAGAGAGTGAAGGAGGGGACATTTTGAGTCGACTCAAAAGTCACAGAGAGTGAAGGAGGGGACATTTTGAGTCGACTCAAAAGTCACAGAGAGTGAAGGAGGGGACATTTTGAGTCGACTCAAAAGTCACAGAGAGTGAAGGAGGGGACATTTTGAGTCGACTCAAAAGTCACAGAGAGTGAAGGAGGGGACATTTTGAGTCGACTCAAAAGTCACAGAGAGTGAAGGAGGGGACATTTTGAGTCGACTCAAAAGTCACAGAGAGTGAAGGAGGGGACATTTTGAGTCGACTCAAAAGTCACAGAGAGTGAAGGAGGGGACATTTTGAGTCGACTCAAAAGTCACAGAGAGTGAAGGAGGGGACATTTTGAGTCGACTCAAAAGTCACAGAGAGTGAAGGAGGGGACATTTTGAGTCGACTCAAAAGTCACAGAGAGTGAAGGAGGGGACATTTTGAGTCGACTCAAAAGTCACAGAGAGTGAAGGAGGGGACATTTTGAGTCGACTCAAAAGTCACAGAGAGTGAAGGAGGGGACATTTTGAGTCGACTCAAAAGTCACAGAGAGTGAAGGAGGGGACATTTTGAGTCGACTCAAAAGTCACAGAGAGTGAAGGAGGGGACATTTTGAGTCGACTCAAAAGTCACAGAGAGTGAAGGAGGGGACATTTTGAGTCGACTCAAAAGTCACAGAGAGTGAAGGAGGGGACATTTTGAGTCGACTCAAAAGTCACAGAGAGTGAAGGAGGGGACATTTTGAGTCGACTCAAAAGTCACAGAGAGTGAAGGAGGGGACATTTTGAGTCGACTCAAAAGTCACAGAGAGTGAAGGAGGGGACATTTTGAGTCGACTCAAAAGTCACAGAGAGTGAAGGAGGGGACATTTTGAGTCGACTCAAAAGTCACAGAGAGTGAAGGAGGGGACATTTTGAGTCGACTCAAAAGTCACAGAGAGTGAAGGAGGGGACATTTTGAGTCGACTCAAAAGTCACAGAGAGTGAAGGAGGGGACATTTTGAGTCGACTCAAAAGTCACAGAGAGTGAAGGAGGGGACATTTTGAGTCGACTCAAAAGTCACAGAGAGTGAAGGAGGGGACATTTTGAGTCGACTCAAAAGTCACAGAGAGTGAAGGAGGGGACATTTTGAGTCGACTCAAAAGTCACAGAGTGTGAAGGAGGGGACATTTTGAGTCGACTCAAAAGTCACAGAGAGTGAAGGAGGGGACATTTTGAGTCGACTCAAAAGTCACAGAGAGTGAAGGAGGGGACATTTTGAGTCGACTCATAAGTCACAGAGAGTGAAGGAGGGGACATTTTGAGTCGACTCAAAAGTCACAGAGAGTGAAGGAGGGGACATTTTGAGTCGACTCAAAAGTCACAGAGAGTGAAGGAGGGGACATTTTGAGTCGACTCAAAAGTCACAGAGAGTGAAGGAGGGGACATTTTGAGTCGACTCAAAAGTCACAGAGAGTGAAGGAGGGGACATTTTGAGTCGACTCAAAAGTCACAGAGAGTGAAGGAGGGGACATTTTGAGTCGACTCAAAAGTCACAGAGAGTGAAGGAGGGGACATTTTGAGTCGACTCAAAAGTCACAGAGAGTGAAGGAGGGGACATTTTGAGTCGACTCAAAAGTCACAGAGAGTGAAGGAGGGGACATTTTGAGTCGACTCAAAAGTCACAGAGAGTGAAGGAGGGGACATTTTGAGTCGACTCAAAAGTCACAGAGAGTGAAGGAGGGGACATTTTGAGTCGACTCAAAAGTCACAGAGAGTGAAGGAGGGGACATTTTGAGTCGACTCAAAAGTCACAGAGAGTGAAGGAGGGGACATTTTGAGTCGACTCAAAAGTCACAGAGAGTGAAGGAGGGGACATTTTGAGTCGACTCAAAAGTCACAGAGAGTGAAGGAGGGGACATTTTGAGTCGACTCAAAAGTCACAGAGAGTGAAGGAGGGGACATTTTGAGTCGACTCAAAAGTCACAGAGAGTGAAGGAGGGGACATTTTGAGTCGACTCAAAAGTCACAGAGAGTGAAGGAGGGGACATTTTGAGTCGACTCAAAAGTCACAGAGAGTGAAGGAGGGGACATTTTGAGTCGACTCAAAAGTCACAGAGAGTGAAGGAGGGGACATTTTGAGTCGACTCAAAAGTCACAGAGAGTGAAGGAGGGGACATTTTGAGTCGACTCAAAAGTCACAGAGAGTGAAGGAGGGGACATTTTGAGTCGACTCAAAAGTCACAGAGAGTGAAGGAGGGGACATTTTGAGTCGACTCAAAAGTCACAGAGAGTGAAGGAGGGGACATTTTGAGTCGACTCAAAAGTCACAGAGAGTGAAGGAGGGGACATTTTGAGTCGACTCAAAAGTCACAGAGAGTGAAGGAGGGGACATTTTGAGTCGACTCAAAAGTCACAGAGAGTGAAGGAGGGGACATTTTGAGTCGACTCAAAAGTCACAGAGAGTGAAGGAGGGGACATTTTGAGTCGACTCAAAAGTCACAGAGAGTGAAGGAGGGGACATTTTGAGTCGACTCAAAAGTCACAGAGAGTGAAGGAGGGGACATTTTGAGTCGACTCAAAAGTCACAGAGAGTGAAGGAGGGGACATTTTGAGTCGACTCAAAAGTCACAGAGAGTGAAGGAGGGGACATTTTGAGTCGACTCAAAAGTCACAGAGAGTGAAGGAGGGGACATTTTGAGTCGACTCAAAAGTCACAGAGAGTGAAGGAGGGGACATTTTGAGTCGACTCAAAAGTCACAGAGAGTGAAGGAGGGGACATTTTGAGTCGACTCTAAAGTCACAGAGAGTGAAGGAGGGGACATTTTGAGTCGACTCAAAAGTCACAGAGAGTGAAGGAGGGGACATTTTGAGTCGACTCAAAAGTCACAGAGAGTGAAGGAGGGGACATTTTGAGTCGACTCAAAAGTCACAGAGAGTGAAGGAGGGGACATTTTGAGTCGACTCAAAAGTCACAGAGAGTGAAGGAGGGGACATTTTGAGTCGACTCAAAAGTCACAGAGAGTGAAGGAGGGGACATTTTGAGTCGACTCAAAAGTCACAGAGAGTGAAGGAGGGGACATTTTGAGTCGACTCAAAAGTCACAGAGAGTGAAGGAGGGGACATTTTGAGTCGACTCAAAAGTCACAGAGAGTGAAGGAGGGGACATTTTGAGTCGACTCAAAAGTCACAGAGAGTGAAGGAGGGGACATTTTGAGTCGACTCAAAAGTCACAGAGAGTGAAGGAGGGGACATTTTGAGTCGACTCAAAAGTCACAGAGAGTGAAGGAGGGGACATTTTGAGTCGACTCAAAAGTCACAGAGAGTGAAGGAGGGGACATTTTGAGTCGACTCAAAAGTCACAGAGAGTGAAGGAGGGGACATTTTGAGTCGACTCAAAAGTCACAGAGAGTGAAGGAGGGGACATTTTGAGTCGACTCAAAAGTCACAGAGAGTGAAGGAGGGGACATTTTGAGTCGACTCAAAAGTCACAGAGAGTGAAGGAGGGGACATTTTGAGTCGACTCAAAAGTCACAGAGAGTGAAGGAGGGGACATTTTGAGTCGACTCAAAAGTCACAGAGAGTGAAGGAGGGGACATTTTGAGTCGACTCAAAAGTCACAGAGAGTGAAGGAGGGGACATTTTGAGTCGACTCAAAAGTCACAGAGAGTGAAGGAGGGGACATTTTGAGTCGACTCAAAAGTCACAGAGAGTGAAGGAGGGGACATTTTGAGTCGACTCAAAAGTCACAGAGAGTGAAGGAGGGGACATTTTGAGTCGACTCAAAAGTCACAGAGAGTGAAGGAGGGGACATTTTGAGTCGACTCAAAAGTCACAGAGAGTGAAGGAGGGGACATTTTGAGTCGACTCAAAAGTCACAGAGAGTGAAGGAGGGGACATTTTGAGTCGACTCAAAAGTCACAGAGAGTGAAGGAGGGGACATTTTGAGTCGACTCAAAAGTCACAGAGAGTGAAGGAGGGGACATTTTGAGTCGACTCAAAAGTCACAGAGAGTGAAGGAGGGGACATTTTGAGTCGACTCAAAAGTCACAGAGAGTGAAGGAGGGGACATTTTGAGTCGACTCAAAAGTCACAGAGAGTGAAGGAGGGGACATTTTGAGTCGACTCAAAAGTCACAGAGAGTGAAGGAGGGGACATTTTGAGTCGACTCAAAAGTCACAGAGAGTGAAGGAGGGGACATTTTGAGTCGACTCAAAAGTCACAGAGAGTGAAGGAGGGGACATTTTGAGTCGACTCAAAAGTCACAGAGAGTGAAGGAGGGGACATTTTGAGTCGACTCAAAAGTCACAGAGAGTGAAGGAGGGGACATTTTGAGTCGACTCAAAAGTCACAGAGAGTGAAGGAGGGGACATTTTGAGTCGACTCAAAAGTCACAGAGAGTGAAGGAGGGGACATTTTGAGTCGACTCAAAAGTCACAGAGAGTGAAGGAGGGGACATTTTGAGTCGACTCAAAAGTCACAGAGAGTG